TGGCGCTAGCGCCGCACACACTCGTGTTCAAAGTGCGAAGCCGCACCAGAGGTGGAGGGCTGCTGTTCCTCAAGATGTAGCTCTCGCCCCCGCGCCGCGCGCACAGGTCAAACAATTACAGCACTCGCAAGGATCCGTAGGGTTGACGTCTCGGGAGTGGTGCCCTGGCGAGATTTGGGACTGCCAGGGCGCAGCAGCCACGCTGATTCGCAGTGCTGACGTCCCAAGGAAGACGTTCTGGCACGATTTGGGGCTGTCAGGACGCAACAGTCGCGCTGACTCGCGGCGTTGAAGTCCAAGGAGTGTTGTTCTGGCACGAATGAAGATTCGCAGACGGGCTGTCTTTCAATGAAAAACTTCCAGCAACGACAACAAAGTATTGTGAGGACCCGTTAAAAAAAGGGAACTTGGAGGGCGGGTTCATTACAACATTTCGTCTGCACCGAGATTATCCCTCCTACTCCTCCTCGTCCTCCTATTCCTCCTCCTTTTCCTCCTCCTCCTCCTTCCCTGCCCTCCGACTACGACGACCAGGGCGACCAGCGTCTGACGACGACAATAACGACTGCGGCGGCGGCCGCAAGGCCAGCCTTGCCCTGTAGGAGGTGGACCTCTCGCGCGATCCGTTCCCTTGCTATGCCGACCGTCCCCCGTTGTCCGTCGTCCGTCGTCACCGCTCGCAACATCGGCGCGAATCTGCTGGAAACTCCTCCTCACTCGACGGCGAAGGCTCCCACGATCGACGTCCGCAGTCATTGGGCGTTCTTGGCCCCTCTTGGGCCTCCGGAGGCACCCAGGAGTCCCTCGAGTCCTCTGGGGACCTCCGATGACCTCGAGGGGCATGGGGAACGACGGGGGCCCTGGTTGCTGACACCGGCATCTGACACCGCGCGAACCTTTCAACACGGAATGATCTCTGCAAGCGAAGGTCCCCAGAGACTGTCGACCCCATCTTTCGTGTGGTTCCCACGCCTGGATAATTTTCCGCGGAGCCTGGGGGCCGGTACGGACCCCAGAAAGGTGTTCAGCCTTGACCACCAGCGTCAGCGTCGCCGCCTCGTCGCAGCGGCACGAACCGTCCGCACCGACGGGGAAACTCTCGCTTGCAGAACCGCCTGAGGGCGACCCTGGAGTAAGACCACCGATAGAGGGAGGGATAGGAGAGTGATGGAGGAGCCCTGTCTGAGCCGCTTGGAGGGCTTCCCCGCCACCGCCGCATCTTAATCCTGGCCTGAACGCGTTCCAGGAGGCGTGGGCCGGTCGTTCTTTGAAGGCGAAGGAATATGATGATAATGATGATGATGCTGATGATGATGCTGCTGATGATGATGATGATGCTGCTGCTGCTGATGATTTTGCACTCAACTACGCCAGCGCACGTACACCGTGGCCCAGTCTCAGTCGCAGCAGCTGGGCCGCCGAAGAAACACATCCGGCTCCAGGCCGACGCCCCCCAGGGGCAGCACTGCTGGCTCCCCGCTCCGCCGGGCCCGATCGAGAGCCAGAGCCCAGACGGGTTGACGGGTGAGCAGCACAGGCAAAGTGGCGGCCAGAGCCAAACAACAGGCCGTCCAGCACCAAGTGGAGGCCCCCGTCAAGTTCCCCCCCCCCCCTTGCCCCCGCGGCCCGACGAAAACGGGGGCCCGCGGCATGTGGGATCCGGGGATGCCGTCGCGAGGGAGGGCCTTGGCACGAGGGCTGTCAGGCAGAGAAAAGACAGTCAGGCAGAGTCGTCGGGGACTACCGACGGCAAAGAAAGTGACGACTGGGCGCCCAGACCATGCATGAGAGCCTCGCATGCGCCCTGTGGCGCTGAGGCGTGGGCTGCAGAATTGAAGGAGGCAACCGGATGCCTTGCTGTTTCCTCCGACACCTGCAAAACGTTGTGAGAAAGGGTCAACCTTCAGGCCAGCACCAGCAGAGGTCACTGGCTGGCTCGTGCGGTCGAGATCCTCCTCCCCGAAATCGGGGTCAAGTCGAGCACCCTCGACAAGCTCGGCGCCCGTCTTGGGGTGTTGACCAGCGCCAGTCTGTCTCCAAGCATGGCGTCGGCCGTCGTCCTCCTTGGCCTTAGTCGGGAGGCCGACGCACCGCTTTGCCAAGTTTCGTACCTGGCCACCGCCAGTATAATACTTGCAAGACAGACAGACGAGGAGGACGCCCTCTCCATCACATTGGTCTTCAACAACTGACTTGTGCATAGTCTTATACAGGAAACCCCCGTGATACCTTTGATGTCAGGGGCTCCTCTGCACGCGCTCTCGCATGGTCTGATGGCAACGCGAGTGGAGCACCAGCAGGTCGCGCAAAGCCAAAGCCTCCCTTCCCAATGCTAATGTCGGTCGGGCCATGGGGTCGGCTTGGGGGGCGGCGTAAACTTAATAAGCCTCGGCATATCTGTAATATCTAGACGTGGGAAAAACACCATGACATGGGCGGATCGCTGGCACGCGAGTCTCGCGATGAGTTCAGCCCGCAGCTTCCTGTTCTGATGCAGACGGCTGGGGGTGACGGGACACAGCCTGGCGGGCAGCCATCTCAGCAAGGTCATTTGCCACTGTTTCAAAAGATTTCCATGTCAACGAGGTCCGGCCCATCTTCTTGCTGCCATTTGCGCATAAACGCGCCCCCGGGAGCCTGGCCCGGCGTCTGGAGCACGAGTCCAGCACGCGGGCGACGATAGGAGGTCCTGGAAGACAAGGGTTCCACAGCTTGGCGCACCACGTTCAAACAATCCGAAAAACCGGGGTCCCAGGTGCTCGACGCTCGGCAGCTATAGCATAGGCCGCGAACTCAGCCGCCTGGAGGGTCTTATGGGAAGAATCCCATGAGAGGCCCCGATACGGTGGCTAAATGAATGCCTTGCGAGTCCCCAAGGATGACGGCCCAGCCTGCCCTGGAGAGCTCCGGGGAGACCTCTCGAGCGCATGATCCATCCACGAGGGCGTGCCCAGCCTGGAGCCACCTGATCGGCATCCCACTGGGAACGCCACCCGCGATAGAGGCATGCCTCAGGTTGTAGTCCGCTGGGCGTTCATACAGGCCTCTGGTGAACAACGGAAGCTCGGACGGATAGGAAGCAGGCGCGAGGTAATCAGCGGTTCTTCGAATGCATGCCAAGAGTTCCAAACGCTCAGCCTCGACAGCTGGGCAGGGCAACAGGCGGCGCGGCGCCGCATCGTCAGCGGCTTGGCGAAGTGGACGAAGTACATCAGGTAAATCATATCCAGCTTGGCTCGCGCGCTGCCGCGCCCAAATCGCATTGCAACATGCTGCGCGAGCGCCCTTTCATGTGGAACCTGTGCTTCTTCTTATGCAACATAGCTCGAACCTGGCCATGACGCGCACGCCCCGCGACTTTCTCCCAAGAATCAGGTCCAGGATCCAGGGGCGCGCGAACCCAAGACTCACGCATTTCGGCTGGGGTCCAGGATCCATGGGGCGCGCACACCGGCCCCGCCGTCACCCGCCGTCGCTTGCGGGTCTTCACGCACGCCGCGAGTTGGTCCGCCAGGCTGGGCGTCCGCTTCAAGGCGGGTCAGACCAATTCCAACTCGCAGCCTGCCAGGCCCTCGAGATCCTCGCGGCCGGGCGCGGCAACCTGCAGCTCCGCGCGAACGCGCGCGCGCCCGCGACCTCGACGCCTTTGATTCCCCCCTGCAACATAACCAACGCCACCGACTCTGGATTCTGCGCCCGCCCGCCCGGCGTTGCATTCACGGCCATGCGCGCAAGAGCAAGCAAGTCGCCATTCGGAGGCGGATCGCGCTGCATGCCTTTATACACAAAACACTCGCGGTGGCCCGCGGACTCCGCGCACGCCCCAAACGATGCGAGCATCCCACCCGCGCCCCTCGGAGGCGGATCGCGCTGCATGCCTTCGTACACAAACGCTCGCGGTGGCCCGCGGACTCCACGACCGCCCAAAACGCTCCGGCTCCGCGCCATTCCCCTGCAAAAGGAGGGGGGGGGGGGGGGGCGGGCCCACAGCGCCCCGCGCGGGGCGCGGCCCCCCGCGGGCGGCATCGCTGCCAGGGTGGTTGCGCGGGCCACTGCCACGCTTCTTCTGAGAAGCCCGCGCGATGCATGGCTTCCAACTCGCGCCACTTGGACTCCGGGCGGGCAGGCGCGTCCGCTGGATTCTGTGCGGAGGGCGCGCGAAAGGCCCACATGGCGCAACCTTTGGTCGCCGCCCCGGGCCACAGGTTCCCGACCGAGGCGTTCCAGTCGGGTTGGCGCGAGGCCCCCCGCACAATCGCGCCCAGGGCGACAGCGGAGTCAATGAAGCAAACAATTTCAATGTCGCCATGCTCCGCAAGCGCCGTCCCCAGAGCGCAGAGTGCCGCCACGAGTTCCCAAGTGGCTTCCTGCGCACCGCGCGCGCCCCGCAACGCCCGCGTTCGGCCCTCGCGGCCGCGCGCGCGCGCGGGCCTGCACTTCCCGGCGCGCCACCCAGCCCCGTAGGGCCGCAGGCGCGTCCGCCGCGGCATACCTTCTCCGGGAGCCGTCATCGACCACCCGTGCCAACCTCACGCCGTTCCACACCCGGCAGCGGGGGCGGGGCGGCACGCAGCGCACGCGACCTGCCGCCGCCCGTTGCATCCGAGTAAACAAGCACGCGCTGCTTTGCCCGCCACCGCGGCGGGACATGCCGCTCGGGCGCGGCGGCCAAGAATCGCAGCCACCATTCGAGCGTACGCCTCAAGCGCGTGGTCAACACCGTTCGCCTCCCGGTGGACCTTTGGAAAAGCGGGGCCAAGTAAACGCGGGCGCCCCTGCCGAAGACGGCGGGAGCGCCCCGCCCAAGCTTTCCCGCCAGCTTGGCCGCGCCCGCGGGCGACAGCTGGCCAGACTGGAGGACCTGCTCAATGGAGCTCCTCCGCTTGGCCACTTTAGCGGGATGCTGACAGCCAACGCCTGTTCCTGCGCAACAAAACTCGCGAGCCGGCCGACCACGCGCCCCCCCCCCGGTCGATCGGCGGGGCGCGACAGTGGCGCACCGGCTTATTGATGACCGTGACCGTTGCGCCCAGGACCTCGGCCGACTCGGCCGACGACACGCGCTTCTCCTCGTCCTGTTTCCAGCCCAACAAAGTCTCGATTACGAAGCGCGTCGCCCGAGATGCTCCAGCGGCCCCCGCTAAGGGCCCCTCCGCCCAGCCCCCCTCCGGGTCGATTCCGAACAAGTCGTCCGCGAATCTCCCGGTTGGGGCGAAGAAAAGCCGGCCCAGGATCGCCTGCAGCGCGCGCGGCGCGCCCCGCCGCTTCCGGGGAGGACGAGGGCACTCGCACCTGTACAGCGCCTCCAAGCCGCCCCCAGGCATACGCGCTCGCCACCGCACCGAACGGGCAGCGCCACAGCTGCAGTGCCCAGCCCTCCTGTGCCGCCTCCCCCCAGACGGCCACCGCCATGCACAGGGCAGACAGTGCCAGCGGCAGGGTCTTGAATGCCCGCGCGAAATCCTCCTTGCGGAGCATCAAGGGCCCCCGGCCCCGCAGAGCCCGCGCCAAGCTGACGAGCACATCGAGAGTCTCCATCCGGATGCGCTCCGTCGGCGCGGTACACTCATTAATCAAGCTCGCCGAGAAATCATCAATTACGCGCACCTGCTGCGATCGCTAGAAGCCGCTCTTGCTTCGCGCGGCTCGGTGCCGCGGGAAAAAGGCGGCCCGCGCGGCTCGGTGCCGCGGAAAAGGCGGCTCGCGAGAGACCCGAAAGGCGGCTCGCGCCGCACCTTACGCCTCCAGCCGCCCTCCTGTTTCCAGCGCCATCCCTCATCGACCGGAAATCTGGGAGTCAACACCGCGTCTCGGCAAGCCTGGTCCAACGGGCACCATGCGCCTTTGCCCATTTCTACCTGGGCGCGCGCTCGGGCGCGCACGCGCGGCTCGGCGCCGCGGGAAAAAGCCCCCTCCCCGCGCGTCTCCTCGCTTGCCTTGCGCAGAAACTCTCGCCGCAATTCCCCGCCGCGGGCGCGATCGCCCGCGGCCCGGCGGACCGCGTCAGCATTCATGGCGCGGCGCTTCGCGGTGGAGCGACGGGGGGTCACGGGAATCCCTCGTCGCCACCCGCTCCATGCCACCCGACACTGGCAATTCGCCTACCAGAGGGAAGCCCCTCTCGATTTGCAACGCGAGGTCCGCATCGCTCACCCTCGCCGCCGCCATAATTTCCTGCAACGGTCGGGCGCGCAGAGGGCGGCCACCCCGCGCTGGCCCGCACCCCAGCCCCGATGCCTGCAAGAGCCACAGATTTTTCTTCGGCCCCAGCACGGCTTGCACGCGAGGCGGAAGCCCCTGAAAATGCGCCTCCAACGACGCTGGACCCACGGGCGAGGCCGCGCGCGCGGGCGCGCCGCCACCTGCCACGCCGGGTCCAGCACCCGTTTGCGATTCTCCCAGCAATGCCAGGCGGCCGCCCGGCGGCGGTGCAGGTCGCGCCCCTCGAGGGCAGTGCGCGCGCCCACCGCGTCCGCCCATGCAGCTGGGAGCTGCTTGGGCCCCTCGCACTCGGGGAGGCGCTGGGCCCACCCCCAGTGATCCAGCGGGGACATCCGCTTGATTCTTCCCTCGTCTGATAGCAAGTCTTCCACCGCTTGCCGCAAGGCAAGCGCGTCTGAAGCGCAAGCCTCGCCACCGCGGCCCGCGCGCGCGACCGCGCCATGGGCGACAACGGCGAGCCTCGTCAACGAAAGGCCCCTCGACCGCGCCGGGGGCAGCGATGCCTCGCCGTCCCAGCGCTCGTCAATTCCTGCACTATCTTCCCAGTCTGCATGCCCCCCCCCCCCGCGGTGATCGCGATCGACCCCCTCGCGGGTTCGCGCGGGCCAGCGCACGCGTCGCGCCTCGCTATTCCCCGGCAAATTTCCCTGCAACGCCGCAACGCGCGCGCGCGCGACCGCTACATGGGCGGCACTTGCGGGCCTCGTCAACGCATGTTTCCCCGACCGCGCCCGGGTGCAGCGATGCCTCGCTATCCCAACGCTCGTCAATTTCTGCGCTATCTCCCCGCGCTGCCTGCCCCCCCCCCCCCGCGGCAGTCGCGATCGACCCCCTCGCGGGTTCGCACGGGGCAATCGCGCGCGTCGTGCCTCGCTTTCCCACGGCAAATTATTCCATGCAACAGCAATCGGCGTGACGGTGCGGCGTCACTTCTTGTGGCCGCTCTTCTTCCATTCGCTCCACGGCACCCACTTGCTCTCACCGCTCTTGGCGGCCGGCTGCTTGCCGGCGCCGGAGCCGCGCGCAGGCGCGGAATGCCCCCAGCCGCCGCGAGGCGAGCGGGACCTCGCCGCGCCCCACGCCGTGGGCGGCCTCTTCGGGCTCTGGACCGGCCTGCGCACGGTGGATCGCGGCCGCGGAAACATCCCGTGGACACTCCTGTTGTCAAACGCACGACTCTCCGCCCCCTGGCCCGCCCTGGCACGCGGCGCATCGCCGCGCGGCCTCCGGCAGACTGGGCGGCGCACCCCGCCTCGGCTTCGCCGCTGCCACCCCCTTAGACTTGGACTCCGCCTTGGCCTTGGCGGCCTTGAGCGCATCCCAATCCAGGGTGCACAGCAGCGCATCAACGCCGCCCGCGCCCTGCTCCAGCGCGCGCGCGGCCTGCGAAAAGGGGGGGGGGGTCGCATCGCGCCCGGCGCGCGCCCCCCCTGCACAACACCCCCGCCTTCTGCCGCATGGCGATATCATAGAAATACGCGGTGCGGGTCCCACCGTGCTCCCCCGCAATCCGGCTCAGCTGCCGTTGGTAGGCCAGCAGCACCACCGGCGTGAAAACCTGGGTGATGATGCAGCGCATTCCCCATTCAAGCAGGCGCGCCTGCCCACGAACGGTACTGCGCCGAAACTTGCCCCCCGCGCGCACCGCGCGGTTGCGCGGGTCCCTTCGCGTCCTGGGAATCGGCATATGACGCGAAGTCCACGCCAGTCGTAGCCATTGCCGCCCGCTTGGCCGCCGCGACCTCTTTGGCGCGGCTCTCTGCCGAGCCCCCAGGCAAGACCTCGGAACGCCGCGCGACCGCGCCCCCCCCCCCCCGGGCGCGCGCAAGAAAAACGGGGCATCGCGCAGCACCATGTCCAGATCTGGCACACGGCTCCACGGCGGCTTGAAATTCTACTGCAAGTCTTCACCCTCGGCGCTCCCCAAATAACGCTGGCCCTTGGCTGCCGCGGTCTGTGCCGCGCACGCCGCGCCGCGCTCGCCCGGCGCGCGCTCTGCCGGCGGCGCCTTCGCGAGCTTTTCGAAACGAAGCATGGCCTCCTCCGTCGGGAGGGCCTCGCCTGGAAGGCGTCAAGCCCGACCTCCCTGATCCGCTTCTGCGCGCGCCGCAGCCGCGCCCCCCCCACTCTGGCTCGCCACCGCGGTGCCAAGGACCTGGAGCGTAAAGGACAAATGATCGGTCTTCTTCTCCTTATCCATCTGCTCGCGCGACGCCTGCACATATTCTGCCATCGCGCCCATCGCCTTCGTGAGGTCGCCGCTGCTCGCGGGGCCCCGGGCAACACACTGCGCAACGCCCCCCCGAAGCCATGAGCCCCGCGGCGGATCGCAAGACATGCGCGAGTCCTGTGCGCGGCCCTGAACACGGAGGGCCAGAGCACGGTGGGCAGGAGTTACCTTGAACTCCGCCCAGCCCTTGCCCTCCCCGGCGTTGAACGGCTGCGAGTTGGCCGCCGGTAATCCCGCGGCCAACACCTCCTGAATAGAGGCGTCCGCGAAATCTTCGGCGAGCGCCGATCCGACGCATTCCGCCATCATTCTCGCAGTCGCCACGTAATGCATCACGGACCTTTCGCGTGGCTCCGCGTCCACCGCCTGCGCAAAATGGACCCATTTCACCTGCGACGCAGATCGGCGCAAACAGCCCGCTCACCCCCCTCGCACGCCGCGCGCCTGGGCCCGGCGACCCGCTCTGGCGAAGGCGGATTCCCCTACGGCTTCAATCGGAGCAAGGACATTGCGGTCGGAATAACCGTGCGTCATGGTGGCGCGCGTCCGCTGCTTGCCCGATTCGCGTTTCGCTGCAAGGCCGAGACGCTCCACGCACGCCGCGCAGGCGCCCCCCATCCTTGGGCGCGCCCAACGGCCCGCACGCAGCCCGAACTCCGTCCACGGCCACCGTTACCTGGCACGACGCCCCCAGCCCGCGCGCGGGCGCAGCCGCGAATGCAGCCCAAGCCACGCGCGCAGCCAGCCCCCAACGCGCCCGGCAACGTACGCAGCGCGCGCACGCCCCGCGCATCCCCTGCCCACGCACCCAGCAGGTCCTGGCCTGCGCCCTGTGGGCAATCACCCCAGCTGGGCTCGGCCCGCGGCCCCTGGGTCAAATGGGAAGGGGACCGTCGCCGCGAGTTCACCGTCCAAGGGCCCGCGTCGGCAATTCGAACGGGACCGGCTGCGGCCGCGACCGGCCGCTCGCGGGCGCGGGAACTGGCGTGCCAGATCGCCGAAGCACGCCTGGCACCGCCCCCCCTCCCGCGCAGGGGCCCCCGCATGCGGGTAGCGCGAGGCCGGGCGTCCGCGGATCCGCGCGCCTGCCGGTGCCGCCACTGCTCTCCCCAATCCTTCTTGACCGCGGCTGGCTCGCCCAGCCGCCCACAAAAAAAGCAAAGGGCGCCTGAGAACGGGCCCAGGTCGCAGAGACACGGTAGCGTCGCGGACAACGAACCCTGCACCATGGGGAAGGCGCGCACCGCTCCTGCTCGCGCGCGGTCACGCAGGCTGCACAGCGAGCTGCATTCCCCCTGCTCGGATTCACGCGCATGCGATGTTCGACGGGGGCCCGTGCAATGCACGACCCCGACGTCACGCCGGCAGCCCCCTCCCCCGGGCCACGCGCCCAGCCACAGCTGCAAACGCGGCCCGAACCCGAGCCCCGTGCATAGTGTGCCCCGTGTATAGTGTGAACCCGCATACTGCCAGATCCACGTATAAGGCCACTGCCAAGGCCACGCACGCGCTCCAGCCACGCGCGCAGCCAAAGCCCTGCCCGCAGCCAAAGCCACGCATGCAGTCTAAGCCACGCATGCAGCCAAAGCCACGCATGCAGCCACGTGTGCACCCAGCCACGCACGCAGCCTAAGCCACGCACACGCCCCAAGCCTAGTGCGGCACACACGCCACGCACACTGCCCAGGGGCTCGCACGCACCCAGAGCCTTTTCGACTAGGTGCGCGCGCCCCCAGTGCACCAGTCAACCGCGCGCGGCTCCGCCCCGCGCGCGCGCGGCTACGCCCCGCGCGCGCCGCGCGCGGCCGCGCGGCCGTGCCGCCGCGCTTGGAGCTCACGCAACCGATCCCCAGGAGACAGAGCGCGGCGCCGGACTTTGACCATGCCATTGCACTGCGTCTCATCCCGCTTCGCCAGCCCCGCGACTGCCATAATGACGCGGCGTGCGCCGAGGGGGAGATTCGGAGAAAAGGGATGCCCGCAGGCGCGTGGGCACCCGCAGGGGCCCGCCTGCCATGGGACACGCAATTTGCGGCCGCAAGCGCGCGGGCCCCTTCGGGGGCCCGCCTGCTCCTGGCCCTCGCCCCTGGGCCCCCGCAGGGGCCCGCCTGCCCTTCGGCCGTTACTTGCTATCCCGCCACGGACCCGGGCGGAC